TAAATTCTTTTCGTTCTCTTTCTTTCCCTTGAATACCTTGCGTCCTAGTGACATTAACTCTTTGTTTAGGCTGTAATATATATATATATATATATATATATATATAATACACACACACACACACACACACACACACACACACACACACACATATATATATATATATATATATATATATATATATATATATAGAGAGAGAGAGAGAGAGAGAGAGAGAGACAGAGAAAGGAAATAAAGAGAAGAAAAATAGAAAAAATAGAAATAAAAACTAGCGAATAGCTAGATAGGAGGGGTGGTCAGAGGAGAAAGAAAGAGAAAAAAGAGAAGGGGAAATATGACTTCTTTATTTTATACAGGCTACTAACCTGAAGGTAGTTTAGACTTAAAGAAAACCTTTTAAATCTATTAAAAAAATGATATTAATTTCAATAATAAGATATATAATAATAATAATCATATATATATATATATATATATATATATATATATATATATATATATATATATATATATATCATACAGTAAGAACAGAGATTACATTAGGTGATAATCATTATGACCGTGTAAATTGAAATAATAATTTACAAGAATGTTCAAACCAGTCAATGGATAATGAATTAATTAAATAAAAATGGCCAGACAGAGAAAGGAAAGAAAAGAAAGAAGGAAACGTGGAAAAAGGGAGGGTGTAAATAAAAACTAGGGAGTAGTTTACGTCTGGATATGAGGGGTGGTCAAAGGAGAAAGGAAGAGAAAAAAGAGATGGTAAAATGATGTATTTATAATATACACACTAAATATATGTAAAATAGATAGGTTGGTTAATAAAACAAGGAAAAACGAAAGGGTACCAATATAATCAGTACGAAAAGCTTTTTTTAGATATTAATTATTACCCATATGACAGAAATGAAGCACGGAGTGAAAGGTTTTAAGTCGACAATTTTCGGATACGCCTGATTCCTTATCAATGGAGCGAGAAATAAACAGAGAAATGGGAATTACTCACCGACAGATGTTTTTGTAGACGGTGTATTTTCTGGTGGAATTCATATTATTAGCAAAAAATCGATATCTGATTCCTTGCTGTGCGAAACTTTTTATGAAAATAAACTTAAATTTAAAATTTGGATTAGTGTAAAAGCTTTAGGCTGGTCTATTATTAATAGTAAGGGGAGTGTGGGAGTAAGATTGTAAACTTAGATGTAGAAAGTCTAGGTTACGCAGTGTGGAGGACGTCTCACGTGTAGCCAGTTCTAGCCGAAAACGGTTCAATTTCAGAAGGACATCGACATCGTCGAATGAAACGTATCACAAATAAACATTTTCCATTTTGTCTTATAATTTCCTCCATGCTGTTCTTGATATATAAAAAAAAAATAGGAGTTAGTGACCCTGCGTTTCACGCTTTTATATTTCAGGTCTGATGATCGCAAAAACGTGAAACCCAGGGTCACAAACTCAGTCATACAACTGAATATATATATATATATATATATATATATATATATATATATAATAACTGTAGATAAACAGTAGATAAATATGTAGATTATAACTGTATATATATATATATATATATATATATATATATATATATATATATATATATATATATATATATATATTATATACTATAGAAGTCATAACATAATTAACCTGTTAGAATGCACACTGTGCCAGAAACAATATGTATGAAAATCTGAATGGTCCTTTCACTACAGAATTAATAATTATCGCAATCGAATTAAGTCGACTCCCCATGAAAAAGTATTACCTGTAGAACAACATTTCCGCATGGAAAAACACGATTTCAAAGCCCATTCACTATAATTGAGAGAATAGAAAAGTTCAGAGCAGATAACATTAGAAAGATTTTAGAGTTTCATGAAAATAAGTGGATACAACGTCTAAAAACACACTATCCAGCCGGGCTAAACCATAAATTTAACAATGTAGATAGTACTAATATATAACTCTACAAATCAAAACCTACCAACATTTCTCACCCACACAAGACAGACATGCTTACGGAGGTGTTGAGGCCTCACACTTATATACCCACCCACACGAATATACACACACACATCATACTCACTCCCTAATGAGACAAATGATAACACACACCCACAGCAATACACACCCTTACACATATCATACTCCCTCACTCCCTAAGAACCAAATAACACACACAAAAACACTTAACAGAAACACATTCCCTCTTCAGGACCAATAAAACTGTCAAACTGACCAGGGAAATTCAGAGAAGCATAGATCCATCCAGCTCTTATCTCAAATAACAACTTAAAAGAGACTGTTTGACCAACACAAGGAATGTTAAAAGATTCATGCTAAAAAAACAACAAAAAGAAAACAAATGAAACCTACAGACAAAAGTTCATTTTCTCCATCAAGACATTCATTTCTGTAGTTTACTGCTGCCAGCAAGCAGAAATATTTATTCTCCTGATGATGGCCATTTTGGCCGAAACTAGTCGAGGAATCTAAATGAAATAGTAATAAAAAAAAACGAAAGAATATTAATCTACAACCCAGTGTGTCTGAAGATTTTAATTTTTTAATATTTTTTATTGTTTTTATATATATATATATATATATATATATATATATATATATATATATATAAAGTACCTGCATTTATATATATATATATATATATATATATATATATAAAGTACCTGCATTTATATATATAAAGTACCTGCAAAAATTCTTTAAAAAAAACATAGGCCTTTTGAAAAATGAACTAAGAGACCAAAATTTTAATTTTAATCCTTTCTTGGGTTTCAAAATTTCTATCTATATTTTAAAAGCGCTTTTTGCGCAAAAACACATTGATTTGAAATTATTTTCTACAAACGCATTTTCTAAAAAATTTTTTGCACAGCTACAAAAATTGCCTTAAAAAAAATCAGAATTATCATAAACTATATTAGAATAATATTATTCTATGTTTAAAATCATTTTTTTTTAAATAAGAGTAGGGAACGATGACCGTAATGATGTTATAATTTATAGGTTTGATTACCAAACAAGGGTGCGTATTATGCGTGAACAAAAACACTAGACACTTTGCACAATTTTAGGTGTTGTGGACGAGTGTTATTATACATGGAGAATAACGGTAAATTTCAGATTTTAATGCAACTTTCTGTAATCATTCACAAATGAATGACTTTATTCTATTTCTTTTTAGGACACCTTGGTAATTTTTTTTTTTTTTTTCAAATTTTTCCCCCAGCCACAACATTTAATTTTATAAAATTACTTCAATTAAAAGTAGAACTTCGAAGAAATTAAATCAAATTTGACCGAAAATCTGCTCTTTTAAATTTAACAGTAAGACATTAATTTTATTGAACGCTGTCGATATTATGGACAATATTTCGTCGGTTGAAAATTATTTTTCGATGAATAACGTATTTTTCAAAATATTCTTGTTTTTTTTAAATTTTAATTGAATTATTTATTTGGAATTTTAAAATCTTTTGAATTCTGTATTAATTTTAGCGGTCAAATAATATTATTATTAAATGAAAATTGTTTTCACGACCCCCAACAATTTGGGGAAGGATATCGTTTTAACTATATTTAAAATTTGTTGATTAGATAAGATTTTTTGATAAGAAAAACGCCTTTAGGGAATATAAGTCTAGCCATACCACAAAATTCAATAAAATATTGTATAAATTCAAAGTTTCTCAAATATGACGGTCGATAGTTGCCACATAAAAATGGCATTTTTGGGATGAACTGAGGCGAAATCTCTTTCATTTTTCCCGCATTATGGTTGCCATTTCTTCCTGGGTTGACCTTATTTGCCATCCAAGGCTATAGAACCATCTGTTATATATTTCCCCATATCTGGACGTTGGATCCATCCTTTTTCCCAAGTCACGTAATTGAATGTAATGGATTTGACTGGAATTCGAACTCTGCTCGCCGATTCCTCAATCTGAGCCACTATCTATTATTCCACCGTTCCTCCTCTCTTAGACTAAACGTAAATCGAACGTTATAAAAAGGATAAAAAAAATACAATTTTTTGATCAAGTATCTCTTTGCTCTTTATAATAACATTAATTTTTTTTCGTGATAAAACTTTGTATTTATTACGTTTAGGGCTTCTTTTATTTTTGTTTTTAATCATGGTATGATCATTTTTTAGCGAATCAGTGGAGGTACATAGATAAATTGTCATTATTCGATAATGTCATATTATTTTTCTCAGAGTGTTTATATCGGTATAAATTAAGGGTTTTGCTCAAGGAAGAAACTATGTTGAAAAGTATTTGCAGGGTAAATTTTAAGGGCTTATTGTAAAACCTGCGTACGTGCTTTGGGTAGTTGTATGAGTGTGTGTGTGCGCGCATGCTTATATCTTTGTGTGTGTCCTTTCACCATCTCTCTCTCTCTCTCTACCTCTCTCTCTTTCACCCCCCCCCCCCCCACCACAGCCACACACTTTCTCTCCTCCTTGGAGTAGAGAGAGAGAGAGGGGTGAGAGGGAGAGAGCGTAATAGAGTAACAAAAGTTTGTAAGTATCTTTTTATTCTAATTTTATCTGATTGTTAGGGAATTCTGATCATACTTCCGTGTCGCCTGCTGATACAAGAGGTTCAGCTGTCGTTTACCCTGAAACACAAAAAGGTCAAGGGTCAATCCAAGTTCATTATTTTTTTTTTTTTTTTTATCATTTTATTTTCTTTTATGTTTTTTTTTTTTTTTTTTTTTTTCGGAAAGCACTTTTTCACACATTTTGGATCCATGGCAGCATCCGTAGCCAAACCGCCCCTACCACACACATAGGAATGGTCACACGTACCTAACACCTCAACCTAAACTTTTTCAACGCCAGAAATGTTATAATCTTATTTGGTAGATAAACAATACTAAGGACTTTCATCACTTTTATACCCGAATCTAATATTCCATAAGCGTTTTAAGTTTAACGATATCATCTTTAAGACAAGAGTATTCTAAATTCTCTTAAAAGGTTTCAGTTCAGAGAGAGGGGGAATGAGAGAGAGAGGGAGAAAGAGAGAGAGAGAGTGAAAGATAGACTGAGAGAGTGCGCGAGAGATGTTGTGAAAGAGAAACAAACGTCCCTGATAGCATCAGAAACAAACCCACACGCACAAATGTATATGTGTATATGTGTGGGTGTCGTGACACAAAATTGTTTTCAAAATTCCTTATCACTCTCTATTGATTTCTCTCTTTCTCTTCATATATATATATATATATATATATATATATATATATATATATATATATATATATATATATATGTTTCTCTGACGATCACAAGGGTGTGAAACCCAGGGTCACAAACTCACATCAATGCAACTAAGTATCTATCACTGATATTGAGCGCTATCCAATAAGTATCGCGCATATACTATATGTAAATAATATATATAGAACTAACATATGTATATATCGAAACTAGTCGAGGAATCTAAATGAAATAATAATAAAAAAACGAAAGTATATCAATCTACAACACAGTGTGTCTGAAGATTTTAATTTTTAATTAATTATTTTTTAATATTTTTTATTGTTCAATACATACATACATATATATATATATATATATATATATATATATATATATATTATAAATTAATTGATTTAAAATATGGTTTTGACAAACACAGTTCTAACCATGTTTCAAAAATGGAAGGTCCAAATTTAATTTTGTAATTAAATTAAAGACATTAGTTCCATTTCATCCTCAAGCGAATTTTGGAGTAACTTATAAAATTACTGGGTTTTACTTTTAAAGACACAGCAAAAATCATAATTTACGTTTCCAAGGAAACAGAGAAATTCATTTCAACCAGACGAGGGGTGTTTGCGTATTCATTATCGCTGTATTTTGATGTATCCGTTATTAGTTACGTTTTGGTAGGGGGTAGGGATGTATTCTTCAATGAAATTTGACATCCGTTAAATGCATGTCGTCTCGATTTTTTTTAAAAAAATTTATTGTTAACGGCAAAGATTCTTACGGCATTTTTTCTATTTGTATATTTAAAAATTTGGGGGGGTATTTAGGTTAGAATACGTTTTATTTAACTACAATTTGAAAATATTTTCACTTTTAATTTTTAATATACTATATTTCTTTTTAAGAGTAAGTAAATGTATTGGAATCCCTTACAGTATGTAGAGTTATTTTCACATCAACTATAAGTATGTATATTATTAGGTAACAATTTTTTTTTAAAATTATTTAAGTAAACTTTATGACAATGACGCCAAAAAAAGCTAATTGATTTCACTGATTTAGTAACCTTTCATTTTTTATTTTTTATATAAATCTAGTAATATCTTGTTTCTCATGTAAGTACAAAGGACATGGGTCATTCAATGGCTTACATCTTCTAGTTTTTCATATTAAAAATTCATTTTACTGTAGTGGTTTTATTGGATTCCTTTAAGTTCTTGTAGTACTTATAGGGTGATCTATATGTTAGAATACGATTTATTTAATTACAATTTTAAAAGGTGTTAAGGTTAGAATTTCTTTTTATTTAACTACAATTTTAAATACAACTTTAAAATATTTTCACTGTTAGTTCTAATAGACTATATTTCTTTTTTAAAAGAAGTAAATGTATTAGAATTACCTACAATAAGTATAATTATTTTTACATATCAAGTATAAGTATGTATATTACGACTGTTAAATTTTTTTATATTTAAATATTATTTAAGTAAAATTTATGACAATTACGGTAAAAATAGCTAATTCATTTCTCTGATTTAGTAAACTTTTTTTTATATATATATATACTTAGTAATATATAGTTTCACATGTCTGTACAAAGGACATGGGACATTCAATGACCTACATCTTATAGCTTTGCATCATAATTTCATTTTTCTGTAGGTGTTTTATTGGATTCCTTTAAGTGCCGGTAGTACTTTGAGAGAGGTGTTTTGGTTAGAATACGTTTTATTTAACTACAATTTTAAAAGATGTTTAGGTTAGAATTCGTTTTAACTAAAATTTTAAATACAACTTTAAAGAATTTTCACTGTTATTTTAATAGACTTTCTTTGTAGATGTAATAGAATTACTTTCAGTATATAAAATAATTTTTTCCATTAAATATAAGTACGTATATTATCAGGTCTCACTTTTTAAATTTATTTTTATTTTTAAATATTATTTAAGGAAAATTTTTGACAATGACGGCATAAAATAGCTATTTCATTTCTCTGATTCAGTAATTTTTTGTTTTTTATAAACTTAGTAATATATAGTTTCTCATGTATGCAAAAAGGACATGGGTCATTTAATGACCTACATATTCTAGCTTTTCTTATTAATTTCCATTTTACTGTATTTTATTTGATTCTTTTAAGTGCCAGAAGTATTTCGAGAGAGATGTTTAATTTTTATATTTATTTAGCCTAAATGAACTTTGATGTTGGTTGAATCTTTTTTTTTTTGAACTCATGGCTTGT